GAGATCCTACGTAGAGAACTTTTACCGTATTAACTAGAATTATATTTTGTGGGATTTATCTTTATCTTGTTAATCACCACAAAGTTTATATAAGAGACCACCACTTGTAACTAGTGTTCACGTGAGTTTTAATATAAAAAAACATAAGAGAATATCTTCTTTCTTCTTCATGTTTGGATACTGTATTTTCTTTAGCCGTAGCCTTCTCCTTCTCAAACGTAACCTCACGTTATTAAACACTCCCACTCCATATTTCAGATTTCAGACTGCTTTTCTCCAACTTGGACAACAAGTTACTTACATAGTTGAAGCAGTTTGGATTTTTTCTTTAATTCGGAAAATAATTTTTTATGGCTTTACGCGATGGAAAAAAACCGTCGGGAAAAGTAGAAAAACCGTCGGGAGCATTATTCTTGACGGTTTTCAACCGTCACGAAACCGTCAAGAAAAAGGCCGTCGTATATACTTCCATGTGTAAAAAAACCGTTGGGAATAATGTTTCTCGACGCTTTGAGAACCGTCGTAAATACTCGTACATATTTTGAAAACCGTCAAGAATACATTTCTCGACAGTTGAAAACCGTCATGAATACTGGTATATATTTTTCAATATTTTCTTCAAATTAGTACTGAAAACTATTAAAAAATGTAACTGCATGCCAAAAATTATTATAATTTCCCAACACGAACATATACAGATGCCAAAAATCACTAGGATTCCCCAAATACATGAATTCTTGTTTTCCAAAAGTATGTAAAACCAAACTTCATGAAATTTATGTTTAAAACGACATTTACATTCACTTCTAAAGTCTATGCAAGGACAGAATTCTTGAATCATCCAATCAAGACCTTACTCAGAGAATTATTTGAATATGAAAGTTTATCAGCAACTACAGCTGGATTTTCCTGCAGTACAAAGTTCCTAGTTAATGCTCAAGACAAACTTAAAAAAATAGTACTAACGTAATCAAATGTACGAAACTGATGGAAATTATCCTGCAAGTACGTCAATAAAAATTTCAAATCAAGATAAAATCAGTTCAAAAAAAAATTGATTTTTTTTACCTGAGAGGCATTCTCTATTGTATGCATTTTCCATGGTTCATAACCCTGTGAGAACAAAAACAAAACTGGAAACTGGGTTGACAGCAATAATGATACCTGCCAATGCACACATGATTCGAACCCATGGTAGTTATGACTTATATATGTCCTTTATGGACAACAGTAACCTATATACAAATATTAGACTTAAATGGTCAGAAAAGCTTTAGTGCAGCTATACAATCTCAGTAATATTTAACTCAGTATTAAGGACTCAAGGGTGGTTTCATGTGACACTTTGACTACTATGAGGGTTTTGTTCTATCCAAAGTAACACATAAAGAATTAAACATGTTCTTGAAAACAATGTATGTGTACCATAGAAGAACAAGAAATAAACCTGGAAGTATGATAAAATTTTATCGTCCACCTCAACTACAATGAATAACCTACAAAAGCCAAAGGGAAACAGACCATTAGGCAATAATAAGTCTTTTTAGTATTTTCAGTACCATCTAAAGCACGAGCAAGGGAAAACCGATTGTCTAGTTCAATTAGTTAGTAAATAGTAGAGCTACCTCTAGTTGCTCATAAAGACTCCTTTTGAACGTCTAGTTGCAGTTGTAGTGCCTCCTTAAGTTGCATACCCCTGCAAACGGTTTTCAAATCTTTTTGAGAAACATGAAATTAACTACGATGGAAGAAAGTTTGTATCTTTGCAACTGTTTAGGCTCAACACGTGGAAAATAAAATGCTAGTTTTGAGCTTAACACAATCTATAATATGCATTCTACTAAAATATAGGTAGCATTAACAATAAATAAAAAAGACATTGTACCTGTGTGGCCAATTCCCTAGTGGGTAAAGCAAGAGAATACTAGGTAACCTTCCATATTCAGCCCTTCGTGATGCTTTTGCAGGGACATTAGTCAGTGAGAGAGATATAAAAGGTAGAGCAACTTCCATATTCAGCCCTTCGTGATGCTTTTGCAGGGACATTAGTCAGTGAGAGAGATATAAAAGGTAGAGCAAGGGAACTAACTCAAACACTTCGCACAAACACAAAAAGGAGAAGAAACGGATGGAATATAACCAAAGTATACCCGAGAGGACCCAGTTTCCAATAATCTAAGTTGGTGTCAATAACCTGAAAAGAGAGCCAGGTGAAATCTCCCAACCGAGGCATTTTAAGAAGAAAAAAAAAACTCCATTAAAATCAAAATGGAATAAAGATAACTGAAAAGTATACCACTAGCTGATTAGTGATTCTACATCATCTCCAATCCCCAAAAACTGCTTTGGAAATTAAATTCTAGCAATAAGGATAACAAACAACAAAGACAAGAAAAGAGAGGCTAAAACTAAGTCATTCAGTTCCAGATTTCATAATTTTGTCATTTTCTCAGAAACCCAACCAGCTAGCTATCACATTTTCAATTACCCAAGTATCAAAAGAATGCTTCATACATTCATACATTCTACAAGCAGCGCACTCATTGGATTTTCAAGGATTAAGTTGCGAGGAGCTTAAATGTTCAGTGAAAAGTGACCTAATTGAAGTTTACTTCAAACTCATTTATTCACAAAACTTGGATTACTGAAAATTAACCAAAACATAAATTGAAGATGGAAGGAGAAAAGTGTTCACCTAGAATCGCGATTGAGAAAAATCAGTGTCTGGTGATGTCGGATGGATACAAATTTGACAATCAAATCGCGACTAAACTTGAATTTGAAAAGAAATTAAGACGAGAAACTTAAAACCTAATTAGCAATGTTAAACGTCAATGTGGCGGCGGAGGCGGTCCGGTGGTCGTAACTATGGTGGTACCGGTGATGGTGAGGGTGACGGAGCCGGTTGCGCCGTTGCGGTGGCGGTGGCGTAGCAGGATCGAAGAAAAGCTCTAGCATTTCTAAACGACGGGAGAGAGAGAAAGTATTTAGTGAAAAAAAAAATGAGAGACTTTTTTTTATTAATTTAAATCGGGTTCATATTTAATACTAGTTAATTAAATTAGACTTTCTATCCTGACGGTTTTTATGAGTCATAATTGGTTTAAAAAACGTCAACAACATTCTCTTACACGACGGTTTTTTAGTGTCAAAATTGATTAAAAAGGCGTCAACAATCCTTTTTATACGACGGTTACCGAATAGTCAAGTAAAAAAAGTGTCGTATAAAGCCTAAATTGTTGTAGTGACCAGGCCCTTCCTAATACTGATTCATGGACAATACCTCATACG